TCAACAACGCTCTTTTTGGATCTGGAAGCAAGCCATCTCTTGGACTCAGTCGAAATGGAGCATGGACTACCGTGGCCAGTATGATCAACGTTTTTCATAATGATAACAATTGCAAGTCAACCAAAAACTCCACCGATCGAATGGAATTGACAGGTGATGAGTTGTTGAAGCGGTGGAGACAATACAAGGAGAATTACATCAAGGCAAGGAATCTGTCAAAGTCAACCGGAGAAGGTCTTGACGATAGTGATTCTGCCAAAGAAATCACCAGTATTCGAGCCAAGCAGGAATCTATCTGTCCTTGCTTTGAACTTATGGACAACCTCTACGGACACAAAGCAAATATCGCCCCACATTCTCTTATAGATAGCATGGATCATCACGAAACAGGATTATTTGAAGACGATTTAGATTCAACCGACTCCAATACACACTCCAGCAATCATAGTGAAGATCCTCAGGACAATGTAATTGATCCTCTTCTTGCCGCACTTGCAAATGATGACCCAGCCGACTACTATATCTTCCCTGCTCAATCTGACGACAACCAAATTGAGGTCAACCACAATTCAGATGAAGACATGGCAACTACGAGTGATCTTGCTTGGTTGGACAATCAAGATGACAAATTCGGTCTGAATGAAGATAAAAAGAACACTGAACGCTTGCCTTCATTTCCTTTGCTACCATCTCCACTCCATTCGCCTAAGTTGGTTGCACCAATTGAACCCGCTGAGACGTCTTCGAATAACCAACAAAAACGTAAAAAATCAGTTTCCGATCGACCTGCCAAACCATTGTCATCAGTTGATACTAATCAAAAGCGTCACAGAGGACCAGCAAACTCACTGATGGACGACCGTGATGAGAAGAAGTATGCTTTTTTAGATTCAAAATTCCAAGTCAAGAATGAGGTTGACATGAAGAAACTGGAGGCCGAGAATGTTCGAGCAGGAGAAGCTTTGACCTGGGACAAATTCAAATTTGAGCGTGAAGACCAGAACTTGGCACGTCGTGAGGAGAAAAGCACTGCAATTGAAGAAAAACAAAGTCAAATTGAAGAGAGACAAGTCGACTTAGAAGCCCAGAAGAACAAACATTCACTTGCCTGGTCTCGAGAGAAGTTTACCCTAGAGACGGATCAATCACATGCATTAGAAGAGTCACGAGCTCGTTCAGAAGTGTTGAAGGCTCGTATGGAAGTGATGGAGAGGTGTCAAAAGGATGGTATGTCTCTGGATCAAATATCGGACTATCTGAAGATGATGTTTAATGAATGAGTGTTTTTCATTAACCTGTGCTCATTGTAATCAATGAAAATGTGAAGTGTTTATTATTGAAATTGTCAAGAAAAATGTGAACTGTATGTTTTGTAATCAATTATTATCAAAATTGTCAAGTATCTATCAAAAAATGTGAACTGTTTGTTTTGTAATCAATGAAAGTGTGATGAATCAAATCATTTGCACATTCAAGTTTGCTCCCTAGCACAAAAATAGGATCATTTGATTCTTTGCACAAAAGTTTAAGTAAAGTAAGAAAACAAAGAATAAAAGTTTCAAGTAAAGTAAGAAAACAAAGAATATTTCTTTCATAGCATTTGATCTTTTACACCAAAATTGCAAATGGAGTAAAAAAGAGATATTTTTTCTACATGTCTTCTTCTTCCTCATGAAAAGCCACAGCAAAGTCTCGCACTAGCTCTCTGCGTAGATGACTCAGTTCATTCTCTCCAATCCCATCATTCAGCTCCAAAATCAAGTTATCTACCCCTTGATATGTGTCATTTGCGTACTCATCAGCATACTCCTCCTCCCATTGATCTCCCAGCGCAGCAAGCAAGTTGTGTAGTATGAAACAAACATGAATCCATCGAAGGATTGACCTCATGTGTTTTGGCTTGTCGAGTCGCAGGCGTAAACATTGAAGTGATGCCCAACGGCACTTCGATACCCCAATGGTATGTTTGTTGCGTATCCGAGCTTGGGCGATGAGTTTGTTGAATACCTTGTTTTGCTCAAGTCTGGCTGCTATTCCCTTGTAAGTAGCAACAAGTGTGTTGCTGATCTTGTAAGCGGAGTCGCCTAATAGATATTCACCTAATGATGAAAGAAAATTTAATGTCAGTACGATGTGGTTAGATCATGATAGGTAAGCAGAAAAATTGAGCCACCTTCTGAAAACCAACGTTCTGGATTTTTACACAAAGTCATCTTTGAAAAAGCTTTGTTGTCGTGAACAGATCCCGGCCATCCAGTGTAGAAGGCGGTGATTCAACGATCACAGTCACAGACAACTTGACAGTTGATAGAATAACGTTTTTTTCGATCGAAAAAGGTCTCGCCATCAAGACCCAGCCGTTGGTAAAGAGGTATGTTGGTTCCATCGACAAAACCTACACATCCAGGAAAGCCCTCGAGTGCCATCACCACTGAGATCTCCTCTCGTCTGTCAGGTCCAGGCCACTGTACATAGTCCTTACTAGTGTATATGATGGCATGAATCACACGCCGTGTGCATTTGATGATGGCTCCCATTGAAGCTTTATAATCTCTTCCCATCCTACGCACTGCACAACCGTTTCCATTGCTGCCAAGGCGTTCGAGGGCAAGAGCCAGTTGAATGATGACGGGAGGCTGGGGGTTGTTGGTGATGGAAATGAAGATAGGATGAGCTTGAATTCTTTTGAGAACACCGTAAAACCCAGCATGAGAGGTTCGCATGCACTGTCGAAACTCGACTTCTCGATCTCGGAGGAGGTCCTTCAGACTGAAGTCCATCTCATATGGCATCTTCCATCGTGCATCGTGGTACCGTAATTGTTTGAGGATTTCTAACAGGTCTCAAGCCTCACCAGCCTCGTTGAACAAGATATCAATAAGGCCACCACTGTCTGGATTGTCTTCAAATAGTATGTCGCCGATCGAAGGAAAGATCTTTTCGTCCAAGACCTGCTCCGCTAAGAAATCATCTTCTTCCTCGATATCAATCATGGTGCAAAAGTATTCAACCTCAGCCAAGGTCTTCTTCCTTTGAGACGTACGGACCATTTTGGTGGGTGAAGAGGTTAAATATTGAAAAGTTGAGGATGAGTTTGGGATTTGGTTTGATTTGGTCAAGAGGAAATAAAAGTGAAATTCTCCCGCGCTGTCCGGAATGCATAAAACGGACAAGTTTCCTCAATTTGGGCTCATATATTTTACAGCATTTTGTATGAGACCAGACACGTTTTTAAAAATCCGCTGTTGTAAAAAACTTGTCCGTTTTTTTATGATTTTCACAAAAAAAATTCGACTTGAAACCCCCTATTACTAATACCATCATTACATATGTAAATTACCTGTAAAACCCTTGTTTACTAACTTCAAAAGAGTGTCATTTCCGTAATAACTTCCATTCCTCCTTATCAACCATCAAGATTGAATTTTTGTACTGACTAACATAATGCTTTTCCTTCATATTCTAACCTCACAAAACCCGTAAACCTAATATTACTACCCTAAAAACCATTTCCAAGTCTATATACCTATATTTTCAAGTTTTTCTTATGTTTTTCTTTCTTTTCTTTGTGTAATTCATTTGTGAATAGTTTTTACTGATCTTAATAAGTTGTTTGAAAGAAAATGATCCGATCATGACATAATGAACAATACATAAGCCTAAGCACAGTGTCATTTTACTACTCACTGGCAGGCCAGTGAGTACGTCCACTTCAATCCAATCTCAATCCAATCTCAAATCCATGTCAGTTCAATATCAATCCGATCTCAATGTTTGGCCTAGAGTAGCAGACAAACAACCTTCCAGAATGAACTGGAATAAAGTTTGGTTGCATGTCCACTCATGAAGGTGTCAGAATGTCTGGAAGGTTTGAGTGATTGTGCAGCCCATCCATATCCCCCACTAAAATATAACTGGAGGTCAAACTGATATTGAACTGACATTGAATTGAGATTGGATTGAGGTGAATAGAACTCACTGGCCTGCCAGTGACTAGTAAAATGACACTGTGAAGAGAGCTGCTATTGATCAGATTCCTTCAATTTTGAGTTTGCTTCACTGCTGAACTTTTCTAATAAACTTGGTAAACTACTATCAATAATTTTTTTGATTGATCCCACAATGGATCACCACACCGGCCACAAGGCCAGGTCAGATCTGGCCTTGGCCCTGGGGTACAATCGTGGATGCTGTCAGGCAGCACCGGGCAGGCCCTGACTCAGGTCAGCCCTTTGTAAGCTAGCTTTAGAGCTTGGGACGGATGCTCAACAACAGCAATTTTTTGAAAAAAGTGCCTCAAAAAGCCCTGTACCCTTGCCTCTGCAAAGATTTTTCCTGCAGGCCAGGCTGCAATGAGATTTATATCTGCAGGATCCCCTGAGAGGTACAGCAGTTCTGGGGCATATGAATTTTTTCACACACATAAGGCTGCAAGTGTCAAGATTGATCACAAGACAAATATTAGTGATTAGGAGGCATGTCAGAAATTCAAAAGAAAACTTACCATCAATAGATGGTTCAGTAGGCAAGTTATGATCTTGAAGCATTAGTTAGTAAATTGTTTCAATGCTTCATGTTCTTCTTCAGATTTGGGAATAAATTGGTCTTATCAAAAAGGTCATCACTCTCTTCCACCCAATGATACCATCTATGGGCCTTCAAACCAAGGATATCTAAAATGATTGGGCATGAAACGGAAACCTAGCAACACACTTCCAGAGATTTTGACCATCAGTCATCTCCAGGTTTTGAGAAGGATGATCAGAATCTTGAAAACAAGAACAAACATCTGTATGATGTGGTAGAACAATGTGGGTTCTAACTTGATATGGTGTACTTGAATTTTTATGAGATGAGATGAGATGAGATGAATGGATGATTTTGATGAGATTATGGTATTATGGTTATGTATGTATGGGTTTAGACTGATTCTGATCGATGACCGGGCATTGAAAGCAAAGAAAGGCTTGAGCTTGAGTGACGAACTTATTTGAAGAAGTGAAATCCAAATTGATATGATCAAGAACATTCTTCATTCATCATTCATCATCAAACCATCATCAACTTACACTAGAACCATGTCAACTACTTCATCAAAACCAATCGCAATCTTAGCCATCAAACCAGATGGAACTCCATTCCAATCAAACTTATCATCATCTTCATCATCATCTCCACATATAAATTCAATTCATCAAAACTGGTCTCATTCAAATCCAAAAGGAAAACCATTCGAAACTAGGATCTTCTATGGTCCTGATTCTCTTACGGCTGCAATCGGTCTGGGTAAAATTCCAGAAGGAATTTCTGATATTGAAAAAGCTGAAAAAACTAGAAAGTTATCTGCTATTGGTGCTAAATCGATTAGAGAACATGCTACTGAAGTCTTAGTGGATCCTGTTTGGAGTTCTCATGCTGCTGCTGTTGGTGCAACTCTATCTACGTTTAGTTATGTAAGTTTTCAATCAAAGGCTCTTCGATGTTGTTTTTTGGTTTTTTCAATTTAACCTGATCAAGATTTATCTTTTTTCTTTTGACTACTCTTCTAGACCGCCAAAACCAAAAAAGATGCATTAGAGAAAACAAAACCAGTGATCTACAAACCATTAAATGATCAACCCATTCAATTATCAAATGAAAAAGCTTCAGATAAGCTCATCGAATTGAATTGGTCATCTGGTTTAATCTTTGGTAGAGCTCAAAACTTAGCACGTGAATTAATGGAAACTCCTGCCAATATGATGACTCCTACTGCTTTTTGTGATCGAATCAAAAAGGAATTTGAAGGGATCTCTAATGTGGAGATTCATGTACGTGATCGAGGTAGGTCCAACGCGATCTTGGTTCATCATTCATCATATAAGTCTTTTGTTCACAGAATCCATCTTCTTGATGGTTTGGATTGATTGTAGAATGGGCCGAGGCAAAAGGTATGCGATCTTTCCTCTCGGTGGCTCGTGGATCAAACGAACCATGCAAGTTCCTCGAAGTCCACTACAAAGGTAGTTCAGGTTCAGGTGCATTTCAACCTTCGGTAGCCTTTGTCGGGAAAGGTATCACCTTTGGTAAGCCAATCTAATCATTCTCTACCCATACCAATTCTGTGATGGATTCTAACCCAATTTATACTTCTCAATAGATTCTGGTGGGATCTCCCTTAAGCCAGGTGCCGGTATGAAATTGATGAGAGCCGATATGGGTGGAGCTGCTTGTGTGAATAGTGCAGCTTGGGCCATCGCAAAACTAGAGATTCCAATTGATTTAATCGTTTGTACTCCACTGACAGGTAAGTTTGAGTCCAAGACCACCTAATCGGATCGGTTCTCATTAAATCAGCTTTATGCTCATCTGTTACCCTTTCTCACTATCTTTCAGAAAACATGCCTAGTGGCCACGCGACCAAGCCTGGTGATATCATTTACGCCATGAATGGAAAGAGTATCGAAGGTCAGTTCATGATCTTCTTTCATCTCTAGAATCCTACTATTCGAAATTGACATCCATTGTCTTCTTACAGTCGATAACACTGATGCTGAAGGTCGACTTGTCCTTGCCGATGCACTTTACTATGCATCTTCAGTCTACAAGCCTCGCACAGTGATTGGTAAGCCACTTTGTTCCAACTCTCGCGCCTCGATATCTGAGCTCATCCCATGATGCCTATAGATTGTGCTACTCTTACAGGGGCCATGATGATCGCGTAAGCTTCTCAAACACGCACTTTAACACTTCTCAACAAATCTAATCAAATCTTGGTTTGGCTTCCTCAATATGCAGCTTAGGAGAAACATTCTCTGGGGTATTCTCCACTTCAGATAAGTTATGGAATGATTTAGACGCAGCAGGAAAAGCTGAACATGATCGATTTTGGAGAATGCCATTTGATGATACATATATGGGTCAAATCGACGGTACCAATGCTGATCTTTGTAATACAGGTGGTCGAACAGCTGGCGTAAGTGACTTTGTCAACTTGTCTGGTTGACTTATCATTTACAAAACAATGGTTCCTTTTGGGATTTATAGTCATGTACTGCTGCGATCTTTTTACGCGAGTTTGTGGATGGATTGGCTTGTAATGCTACTGGCACCGAAGCTCAAGAAAAGCCTACTGAGGATACAGTTGCATATGCTCATTTGGACATTGGTAAATTCAAACCAATCTTATCTTTGTGTGATCGAAGAAGAATACTGATCAATCACTCTTGTCTTTGCTTAGCTGGCTCAATGGAATGCACCAAGCCTGAAGGTTACAATTTGAAGGGAATGAGTGGAAGACCTGTTCGTGCTTTGATTGAGTATATTCGACAAGAAGCAGCTGGTCGCGCTTGAATGATTTATGTATAGTTAAATCACTTGTTTTTGTAAACCCAGAAAATAAATATGGATGTTCAACCTGATCATGAGGCTATAAACTTGATTCCATAGTTTTGAGCTACTATTTACTATTCAAAAGTTCAAGATATCTTTATTACAACATGTCCCTCACTTGGTAAACACATATCCATCTATATATGATCCAGTTGATTGGTAAGTCAGTTTTTTGGAGCATGGCAATCCCATGAAAATGTACCCAGTAAGAATCTCATGCAAATGATCAGATTAAAGTCACATCGAGGGTCATATGATTGACATTGCCGTAATCAATCACATTCTCTTCATTTCATTTTTGGCTATCAACATCACCCAAATTGTATTAGTATCAATCGCTTTCAAATCAATTAAATGAAGACAAACTTACTTTACAATCATCCACCACACTTCTAATAAAGATTGCATTCCTAGGAAGATTAGCAGTAGCCGTTTCATCTAATGGATTTTCATTTCCATCTGCTTTAGATGGTACAGTACCTTCTTCGTCAATTAAAGAACAACCGATAGCTAATTTAGTTCCATCACAATTAAATGCTAAACTTGAGATCGAAGCAGGATATTTAGGTAACTGTCTTAAACGTTTCTTGGCTGCTGAATCCCAAATCGAAACCATTGAATCACCACCACCGGTAGCAAATGTTCCGAATCTGATTTAAAGTAAAAGAGGAACCAAAGAGAAAGAGAAGCAAAAAGTGGTTTGGATGAAATTAGTCAAACAAACAAAGTTTTTGAAGAAAGATTAGTGATTTGAATTTAATGGGTTCGTTCGTATGGGTAGAAAAGAGATGAATCTTACTGAGGATGAAAGGCTAATGCATTCACAGGATAAATCGTATCTACTTTATCAATCATTTGTCGATGACATTTAAATGCATATTTCTTGGATTGGATTTCAGTTGAAGTATCAAAAAATTCAACTGCTACTCTTCCTTCAATCGAAGTAGAAGTATAACCTTTCAGAAAAAAAAACAGAAAAAAAACAACCAAAGATTAGATATCACTCCCCCCCAAAAAGAAATTGAATATGATGAAACTCGAAATGAAATTAAACTTTACCTTGACCATTCGGCATACATTTAATAGATCGAGTCATAAACTTTAAAGAAGATTCTCTTTCTTGTAAAGGAGGAGGAGGCACCAAATTATCAACATGAGATCCATTGAGATGACCTTTTTGATAAACTTCTCCCACTCTTTCTACCACTTGATTTAACTTTCTTAAATCCCAAATCCATATCTTTCGATTTCCCATAGCTACTACTAATTTATTTTCAGATGTATCTAAAGAATAAACTTTGGATGGTAAGTTTGGTAAAACTAAATTAGATGAAGAAGATGATGAGGAGGAGGAGGAGGAGGAGAATAGTCGAGGGTCTTGAAGGATCACTGAACGATCCCATGATCCGGTGATCAGAATATCAAACTGAGTAGAATAATGTACACATTTCACCGCGTCTTGATGAGTTGAAATCACTCGATTAGGTCTCGAATGACTACTAGCACTACTAGGACTGTTTTCTAAATCGATTTCTCTAATCCCTCGATCAAGACTACCTGTAAAAGCTTTTCCTTCATTCCTACCTGAACCAAAACTGATATCTAAGATAGGTGATGGATGTGGATAAACATAAATCGGATCTATCGAATGATGATCGGTTGATAAGTTAAACAGTTTGACTGTTTTATCCCATGATGATGTGAGTAATAAGTTTGGATTGCTTGGATGGAATTTAATGGATGAAGTCACATCTTCTGGATTCGTTAATTCGTATTCTGAATACCGAAACGCGATTCAACAGTTTTGGTTAGTAGGTTTCTTTTGTTTTGATGAATGGGAATTGGTTGGTAGTGATTGGGTTCATACCTTTGCTAGTCATCCTCTTGAATGTTGATAGTACTGGGTTGAATGATGGTGATTGGTTAAAGTAAGTTGGTCAGTAGGATCAAAGTAATCAATCTCGATCTTTCAACTGTCACTCACTCAACAAGTGATATCTTACATTTCACACTCCCACTACATCTCACTTTAAACTCCTGTGATCTTGATAAAGTTCATGACATCCAAGTGACACCTTACAATGTCATAGCTTTTATGTGAACTAAAGAAATTGATTGTAAACTTCAACCTCCAAGTCTACATGAATTCTCACTATGGCAAGCTAAGCTGCATATTTGGTACATGTCAATGAAGTACATAAATATAAAGAGTCTAAAAAGATCTTACTATCAAAAGAATATAAACTTTTCATTAGAAACAGAGACAAAAAAAAGTTGATTTAATCTTCACTAGGATTTCTTACTCCGTTCATCATCATCATCAGTCTTTAAAAAGCATGCATCAGAATGATAGTATTAATTAATTAATTGGTTGTTTTTTTGTATGTAAGGATTGGTATCAAGAGGAGTAAGAGAAAGGTTCAAAAGTATTGAAGTTTTTAAATTTGATTATAATGATAAAATAAAAAGAAACGAAGAATTGTTCACTAATCAACAAACAAACAAACAAATAATAAATATATATCGAATTGTTTTTTTCCGCAAGGTTTTCTAATTTAAGAATCAAAACAATAAAACCAGTGAGCTGATCTAACTGATTGAAAATGAAGGAAAGAATTGAAAGATCCAATGTTCTAAAGTAAGTAAATGTTAAATTTTTCTATGATAATCGTTTATAAGGTTCAGAATGGTTTGAAGAACTTGGAATCGGTTTGGGATTATCAAGATGATGATTAGAAGTACCAAAGATAGTTGACGGATCGAATTCTTTTTCTCTTGCCCAACTTAATGGAGTCGAATGACCGATTGGTCTTGAAGGTTGTGAAGGAACAAATGAAGAAAATTGATCTGGATTCCATTTAGCTTTATACGAATTCATGGCTAAATTAGTCACATAAATCCCAGCCGAAATCAGAGAAAGAATGAAAATCTAAATCAACAAAAAACACAAAGATGATCAATCAGTATAAGAATATACATCTTCCGATTATAAGAAAACAGATGTAAGAGAAACTTTTTTAATCTTACCATCGTTTTCCATGAGATCACATCCACAAATCCATTCATCACTTCTGCAAAGGTTTCAGCTCCAATCTTTGATTTACTAAGCAAATTAGGATTCTGATTCATACATTTTTCCCATTCGATACAATGTTGTTCAATAAACTTAGTACGTTGAGCAACAGGAAAACATCGATTGTTATGATACTCATCAGTACAAATTTGAATTTCTTGACGTAATTGAGTAGTTTGAGCTAATAATCTTGAATTGATATCTGTACGCATCATGAGGATGAAATTCATAAATAAGAAAAAGGCCAGTAAGACTAAAGAAGTATTAAAGATCAGTTGTAAATAAACTAATAAGATATAAGGTGTTTCAGTTGCAAGTTGACTTTTGGGACGGGTCTTGTTAGGATCTGAATTCGAATTCCATCCATGAATGGTAAGATGATTATGTGTTGTAGATCTAGATGATTTAGATGGTGAACAAGATCTTCCACGTCGAATGAGAGTACGTGAAGAAGGTCTTTCATCAAGTTGATCATCTTCTGTATCTTGATTAAATGAATCATCATCACTCTCTACACTCATTTGATTCAATTTAGATCTTAGATTACGTTGTCTTCTTCTTCTTTCTTCATGTTTGACACCATTATGAGAATAAAGTTTAGATGGTGAAGGAAGACTATCAAGACTAGTATCCGGATCAGTTTCGACATTCGATCGCATCCTATGTTTTAATCCAAATGACTCAGGTTGTAATTTAGTAGGTGATGAAATCTTCGTTGGATTAGGTGGAAAGATAAGTCCATCAGGTGGATTAAACAGAAACTTCCCACCACTCGGTTCTAAAGGAGCTTTAGTCACCAAACTCGAAAACAAACTGGGTTTAGGTGAAGGTTTGATTTCATTTGGACTTGCTTCCCAATCCATATGTTCATCTTCATAATGAGCTCTTTTCCTTTGTGGTTCTTCTTTGATTGAATGAGTTCTGCTAAACCAACTTGTATTAGGTTTTTTTGGATTTGAATCGATTACGTTTGCTGGTTTGATGATGGGTTTGGGTTCGATGAAAGTGGTTGAAGTGGGAGGTGTTTCATAAGTGAAATCCATTGGAGATTCTTTTGATCTGGTTGAAGTAGGAAGTGATTTTGATTGTGATGAAGGTGGTCTGAAGGGATGCATGGCTTGGAGTGGTTCGATGGATTGAGTTGATCGATGAAGTCACTTGGAACTTGAACAAGGAAAGACTAAAAATTCACATTGGATATGAGATGTCAATTTACATACAGGGACATGTGTAATATGTAGGACTCGGGCTTTTGTGCAGTATCCGACCCGATGGTGAAGATGATCTCATTTCAGATTGATTCCAATGCCATACCAATGCCATCGATCAAGAATCAAGAACCAAGAACAAGAAAATGAAAGAAAACAATCCATCAAATCAAGAAACATCAAGATCAGATTCATTCTCAAGTTCAATTCAACATGATGATCAAACTATCTTAACTCATCTAGCTACTTTACCAAGCGGATTAGCTCATTCAGATTTAAATCAAACACGATATGAATCTTATCTCAAGAACAACAGTCTCCTAACTTCATCCAAAAAGTTAGATGAGCTTTTCAAATCTGGAAAAGGTAATCGACCACACCTCTGGCAAGTTTAATGGGTACTTCTTTTGACCCTTTCCTATAATATATATTCAGAAGTTGGCAAAAGATTCATAGGTTTTCTATATTTCACGTACTTTGACTTGATAGCTTATTCATCTCATTTATCGTTACTCTTTCTACAGGGCTTTCATAATAGGTGTAGACCCATCGTACGTTGAGAACAAGTTTCAGTAAAAGAAAAATTGAACCTGTCGGAAGTCTCACACCTATCTCTACAGTGATGCTTTGACTCGACAAGATGATTGGCAAGACCTTGATGCTCATCGGGATGAAGGACAAGTTCAATTGGATGTCAACCGTTCTTTTGTTCATTATCCTCTTGGTAAGTTTTAACTCTTCATTTCGAACTTGAGCCAATCAAGACCAGCTCACAAATTGAAAGAGAGAATAACGTGAAGACTGATTTGATGGATTTTACTTTAGAAATCGAGGATTCAGACAAAGCTCATCTAAGATCACTACTTGAAAATACCATTAGGAGTGTTCTTCGAAGGTTCCCTAAACTTTGTTATTTCCAAGGATATCACGATGTGGTTTCAATCTTTCTCTTAACGTTTGTTGACCTTAAAGCCCGCACCACTCAACCCACGATCAAAAGCGAAAGCATGACTTTGAAAGAATCAAAGCCTCTGTATGAGTCTGAACAAATGGAATTACTTAGCTTGGTCGTCAAACGGTTTACGCTGCATCGAATTCGTGATAGTATGACCACCAATCTCGATCCCATCATGGGATACTTGAGGTCTGTCTTTGATTCTGAAATTCAACTCTGCCGCATTTCACTAGAGCTATTCATTATTTTCTAAGAAGCTGATACACTTTTTTATTCTGGCTGGATACTTGGGATGGCGATGCTTATCGATCACAGAGTCACACAGTCTATCTTGACCCAAGAACATCCTCGTCTGTCATCCATCATTGCCCAAACATCAAATCTACCGCTCTTCTCACTCTCCTGGATCCTCACCCTCACCTCACACGATCTTACTTCATTTGAAGTCATCTCACGGCTATTCGATTTCCTACTGTGTCATAATCCAATTATGATCTGTTATATTGCCAGTGCGATCTGTTTGACAAAAGTGGATGAGATTGATGAATTGATTGCGGAAGCTGAAGAAGAAGGAGAAGTGGACTTTGATATGGTACACTTTATCATGTCCAAGTTACCTAAACTTTACATACCTAGAGAAACTCATCCTCATCAAGATAGCACTGAGAAAGTCGACTCTGATACGAACCCCGAGCCGAAGATTGATGCTTCAGAGGAACCAGACGCTGTTCGCGAGGTCTCCTCGCATGACGAGAAGGTACTTCCACAAGACGAATCAACAGCATCAGACATATCTCAGACGCAATCTCATGAGCGAAATTCATCTGATGTGGCTCCCAATCCTGCATCGGATCCATCAAATCACGGTCCCCGGCCAACTCCAGTTTCTCATCAGTCGATAGAAAAACAACCACTCAAACAACAAGACGGTATTTCAGTTGAAGTTATCATTCAATCAGCCTTATCACTATATACCCAATATCCACCCAGCCACCCGAATTTGAAACTCCATGAAATCTTAGGACCTAAAAGTTGTTTGTATACATGGAAAGAAAGTCAATCAAGAGAATTAACAGATCAAGAATCCGAAAAGATATTAAATGAACCGATCGATCAAATCGTTTTACCTGATTTAATTCAATTAAAAAAAGAAGCGAAAAAGTTGTACAGAAAAAGACAACTTGAAAGATCATTGAGAAGGAAAAGATTGGTTAAAGAGATGATTCGTAGATTGGTTTCTAAGAATGGAATCTTTACTGGATCGATTCTTATTGGGATCATCTCGATTATTTATTTGAAAAAAGATCATTATAATTCAAGTTTTGGATTCATCGAAGTGTTTGATCAGTTTAAGTATTGGATCAGTCAAACTTGGTGGTGAGTTTGGATGAGCTTAGTTAAAGCAGCGATGATCTATTTTGATGATGTATAATCTTATAATCTATGGTTTTTATTAAGTTTAAATTTATTACGGTCTGGTGTGTTTTTCTTTATTGTGAAGAATGATACATAGATTTTTGATGTATATACTCTTGTGAATTATATAACTTCTCATGTGAAGCAATAAAAGCGCGTGTCAGAATCTCGAGCTGGAATCAACTATTCATCCCTTGACGCAACAAGGAAAGCTTGAGATGATCAAATCGGTCGAGATGTAATTTTGTGGGTAAAGATTTTTAATAAATCATGACCTTGATGTATCTTTGCAAGCTCTTTGGTCCTTTCAACATCACTATCCATAGGCTTTTTATAAAAAAACATACAACAAGAAAAGAACAAGGGTATAAAGAAGAAAAATTCTCTTTGAAACTTTCATTGTCAAAAGAAAGAAAACAGACCACGAAATATATCCATCCAAAAAATCACCTCAAGACAAATCTATCTAACCAACCAAACCAAAAGCCCAGAAAAAATTCATTCAAACTTCAAGATTCATTTCACCATTTCTTAATCTTTCTTCTTTAAGTTGTCTATACCTTTTGACCGCCTTTTCTCTTTCTTCTTCAATCCTAATTTTTTGTGAATTGGAAATAGGTAATTTTTTATAAGATTCAGTTGATAAAAGTTTTTTACATGGTTTTTTTAAATTCATGGGTGGTTCCATTACTATATCATTTAATGAAAACTTTGTAGGTTTAGGTTCGAATTCTTTGGTGGTTTGATGAATGATAGGTTCTTCTGTTGGTTTTGATTCGTTTGGATTTGATTTGGTTTTTGGTTTTTTGGTTATGGTTTTGTTTCGTGCTAGTTTCATTACTGATGAAAGTTTTGGTCTCATGCTTTGTTCTACTCGTCTGTAAACCAATTCATCAAGAAGAATTATTAATATCAAACTCATATTATCAGACTCATATAGATATAGTTTTAAGAAACCGACTTAACTGATTAAAATCCGATAATCTTTCACCACTTTCGATCCTTAATTGATCCGATTTAGATTTCTTCAATAACCCATTTCTAGATGATTCATCCTTAGACTTTTGATCTTTTTCTTTCATTCTTGCTTTATACTCTTCTCTAATCTTTTCTGAATTTAATATCCTATACATATTCTTAGGCATATCTTTAATTCCATGATTTGTTGATGATGTAGGTGTTCCAATTGATGATTTCTTTTTAGGTGGTCTGGTTCCTAATTTATTGGGTGGTAAATCATTTCCTTTTTGAAATGATAATTCTTTTCTTATACTTGCTTTGGCTCTTTTATGTGGCATTTGAATGATTCGTTTAAAGTAAGCTTGATCGTGTTGGAATTGAATAAATGTTTTGGAGTCGTCGTTGTTGTCGTTGGTTTGACCAAAAATTGGATTTCGTACAAAACATAACCAAAATCACACATGTAACTTACATACGAATATGCTTATACCTTGAACACCCCTTTCCAAATTTTGTTATTACATTTGCTAGAAATGTTGTCACCTGTGGCACGTTTGCTTCACAGGAATTTGGCCGCAGCTGCTGCGCAGCTAGTAGTGCTGCGTACAGCTGGTGCAGCGCTCAGCTAGCGCAGTCAACCCACTCTGATCATTGGGAGCAGTGTATGATCATCTAAATACTGTTGCCAACACCGCCAGTGACAGCAGATCCTGCATCTCACATTTCCACGATTGTCACATCTGATCAACAAACATGAAGCACTTAGATCATGTGAACCCAATCTTTTTGAACACGAGACAGGATCCAATTTTATTGTCTCCTGACCCATCTGATTCCGAAAATACCCAACTTGTCACTCATCCGGTATGTCCATGATTCCTGTTCTTCATCTTTCTTCATCTCTGTTGATCAATATGGCTTATTTTGATTATTCTCAAAAGAAGAACTCCAAGATCACGAAACCCAAATCATCATCAACCAAACCAACACAAAACTCAGATAACCATGATCCCAGCTTTGCAGTGGTTTTTGATTGTGAAATATATGTTCATGACAAGAAAGAAAGATCAGGTTTTTTGCGAATCAAGTGCTCCCGTTCCAAGATCAAATGGAATTCAAATGACTTTGACTTGGATGCCCTCAAGAATGAATGTGTAAAATGGGCAACAAGCGACGCCTCGAAGCGATCAATCACAACAGTATTGAAACAGGAGGTATTTAATAAGAAAACTTTGGGTGTTTGGACTGCGTATATTACTAAAAGCTCATCCTTCCCCAAGAGAAAGGAATGTCGAGAGGTGTTAAATGATGGAAACATTATGGACTGGGTTCAAGAGGCTTGGAAATCCAAAGCCGAGGTTGGTCTCTCGTTTGTAGTTCCAAGCCCGATCAAGGTGAAGGCGCAAGCTGAGAAGGTGATTAATTTGTATCTCGCTTTTCTCAGATGGCCTGATTCACACTGACCCATTTTTAAAACACTTAGGCTGCCCGCACTGATGAGATTACTGCACAGGCTGAACAGAAGCAATTGCGAAACGAGTCTAGGAAGAGGGCAAAGGGGGATGATGAAGGCAATGATGAGGAAAGTGACCAAGAGGTAAGTTTAGAATCAGTTAATTTTTTTCTTTAAACTTACTCACCCCACTTTCATCTTGAAAGTCAAACCATTCGAGTGTTTCAAGGAACTCACAAGACGATCCTCAGACGGCCTGGGCGTATTTGCTCCTGAACAAACATGAAATGAATAAAAAAGTCAATGGCCAGTATCCTTCGATATTTGACCCCGCTGATTCAACTCGCTACTTTGCCTTAACTTGGGATAAGGCTCAAGAATGGGCCAAACATCGAGTAAGACCACTTCTTATGCTCTTATAATATCATGGAGCTGATGTTTTTTGTGTGTAGAATGACGATGAGGTCAGCCTCACCCACCCTCCAGCACATTTCAAGTACGATCTCAAAAGGGTGCCTGGGAAAGAACTTACAACCCCGGATTCAACTGCTGCTTCCACCTCCAATCAATCATTAAACGATGTGATTGCCGGTTTTGTTAACGCCCTGTCGCCTCAAAAGCCATCTACCAGCGAGAGTGACTCCCAACCCTCAGCTCGACCAACTGGCCCACCAAGTCACAAACGTCAAATGAGTACCGAACGATCTCCACCACCCTCTTCCCCTACTACCTACAATCCTTCCGATGCCAATGGAATCAACGGCTTTTTCGACTATTGTAGCTTCCCTGCCGAGAAGAAAGACAAGATACAACACATATTTGAAGAATTTGAGTTAACTGACCATAGAATGATCAACGAGAATAACTTACCTAGGAAAGATCTTGCCGAGCGAGGTATTTCTAACATGATGATCACTGGGATTTACTTAGATGCCGACCGATACAGGAAGCGCCGACTTCACCAGCGACAAGAGGCAAAAAGAGCCAGAGCTTCTCTTTAGAGTAGTCGGCATTTCAGGAAACTGCTTGGCTTCCCTTTGAATGATCACCCTATCAATCTTGATGATTGTCTCGTCTGTTATTCTGTGACTGACATCTGTGAATGTCTCAACTACTCTATTTTGGCCTCGTTTTTTCTCTCTAAAACTTTGTTCAGTCAAATTGTCTTGCAAGCAACAAAAATCTCTTTAGGATCAACCTATTGTCTACTTTCTTTCTTTTCTCTGGTCTCTTCAACTCGTATTATGAGTGTCAAATATGCTCGTTTTTTTGTTTTTTGTTGTGTTTTTCTTTCTTCTCTAACTTTTCTTGTGTGTGTCAAATATCTTGTCACTGGCAAAGGCAATTATATCTGGGTTCAATTCCAAACTTTGCAGACTACGGGTTTTGTTAGATAACAATGGCACAAGCATCAAATTTAAGAGATATGAAATTTTCACTTGATAACAATTCAGACCATCATACACTTTTCTTACAGCCGATCATTCAACAGAGAACCACAACTGAAATGAAAAACATTTTTGGATAAAAAAATAAAAGATACAATCAAGCTTCTCCCACGAGCTCATTACATGTACCACCACTTCATCATTCACTATAGCCACAATGATGGTAAAGAGGACGCAATAAATCTCCGACAAATGTCCTGCTTGCTATTTTGGTGATTGCTTTGACAGGGTTAGATGTAGTAGCCAAGACCTGACACCTTCGACAATCAGCTTTGAAGACATTGAAACCCAGCTCAATAGGGTTCAACTCCGGGCAATACGCAGGCAAGTAACGGAGGAGGACACCTATGGCATTAAACCAGTTCGTCAGTTAGTGTTGATAGGTTTGATTGAAAGAAAAAAAGCACCTTTTTTCTCACAGAGAGACGCAATGCGGCCACCGTGATGAATAGATGCGTTGTCGAGTACGAGGACACTGTTAGGGCCGGGATATCGATTCATTCTAGGTAGCTTTTGGAAAATGATTGGGTGTTGGTGTCATTGCTATCGTAATCCACAAAGAAATACATACTGACCACTTTGTATTTCAAGAACGACTCAAAACGCTTCCGATTGACCGTGCCCTCCAACACCGAGAGACCTATGAGATCATGATAACCAATTGCTGGAATAAGGGAATAACGGCCGCTATGAATCCTGGGGACTTTCCGGGTTGTTCGAAGACCAATTTTGGCTCGCTGGCGGAATCGGAGCAAGTCGCGCGCACATACAGCACTCTCATCTATCAAATTGAGAACATTAATCGAAGAAAAGTGTGAAAATGTGAGAAAAAGAAATACTTACCTGTAAACACCAAGAAGTTTGCTGGAAAACCCATCATACGATCCATCCATTTATATTTTGCAACCAAATCCTTCCGAACGCTGCTGACACAAGCTTTCTTCAGAGTAATTTGGAGTCGTTTCTGAAGTTCCAGCTGTACAGTACTGATGGAAGGCATTTTGCCCTGTTCGTTATACAGTCGTTCACGGATCTCATCCAGGAATAGCGAAGGATGCTCCTCAACTAATGCCTCCATGAAATCACGGTCAGCTTGATTCAAAAGAAGGGGTTTTCCTCGAGATTTGTATTCGTGAGGGTCCCGGATAACCGCTTGAGTACGGCGGTAGAGTTGAGTCCATCGAATGAGAGAGCGTTGCGAGATTCGTTTGTGGAGGCGCCGGCGGATGATTGAAAGGGGAATTCGCCGAAGTCGCCAATCGACTGCAACAACTTTGATGTCGGCGGAATATCGTCGAAACGGCATGGTAGGTGAATTGAGGTGGTGGTAGAATTGATTAGGGGTGTGAGGTGAGGGTGGACACTGGCGTGAGTGCCAGTTCAGTCAAATTGAGCAGGCCTCGTCATCAGCCGCAGCTGCTGCGCAGCAGCTGCGGCCAAATTCCTGTGAAGCAAACGTGCCACAGGTGACAACATTTCTAGCAAATGTAATAAACTTTCCTTCAATCTCCCTTTAATTGACACACCATTCATATTCACTCTTTATGCGATTCATCAATGGGCAAAGCCAAGAAAGCAAAATCAAATTCAAAAGCATCAGTCAAAGCAGCTAAAAAAGAAAAACAAGCTAAAAAATTAGAACAAAAATCAAAAAAACAAATTAAAGCTGAAAAAGTTGCAGAAGAAGAAGACCTTTTAGTTACATTAGAAGAATTTAGAAAGTTGAGTACATTCCTGTTACACTTCTTGAATACAACATTTATGGGGAAAAAAAATTGAAACTGAAATATACAATTTTTCTTTTCTGATCATGATGATGGGTTTCGTAGGAAATGGGAAGATGATCATAAAGTTACTGAAGATCTGATCGATGGTCCTCCAAGTAGAAGAGCCAATGCTTCATTAACTCCTGATCCAGTTAACCCACATCTTTGGTTATTTGGAGGTAAAGATTTCGAAAACCTTTTAACTTTTTTTCAAAACAAGAATCAAGACTTTCAAGATCTCTAACACACCTGAATGATTACCTTTTTATTTAGGCGAATTCTTTGATGGAACTCACGCATTTTTCTACAACGATTTATATGTGCGTGGGGAAAACAATCTCACATTGTAAATTTATCACGATCTCAAAATATTGAAGAGATCATTGGGATTTCGAAACATTTTCTAGCGGTTTTCACCCGATAAGAATGAATGGAGAAGATATAGTTCACCAACATTTCCAGGACCTAGGTCTGCTCATCAAATTGTAGCAACACCAGCAGGTGGTGGAAAACTTTGGTTGTTTGGTAAGTAATTATGTGTCAGATTTCGAGAAAAATGTTCAAGATGTTAATCTATTATGTGAATAGGCGGAGAGTTTGCATCAGTCAATCAAACTTCATTTCATCATTACCGTGACTTGGTAGGGTTCAAGAAAAATCTTACGATCTCGCCTCATGCCTTACTAACTCGCGTTGACTTGGAATTGAATAGTGGTGTTTTGATCTAGGGACTCATACATGGGAAAGAATTAATACAAAGCTCATGCCATCGGCTCGTAGTGGACATCGAATGACGGTCTGGAAACAATGGATTGTACTGTTTGGCGTATGTTCACTTATACCTAGATGATTTACGCATCATCGATTGATGGCTGATATCCTTCTGGCTCATTTTGAAAGTAGGGCTTTCACGGTAAGTGTTGAGCTACTCGAGTATTTCCTCCTTTGGTGTCAAGACAACATTATGTATTCATGCTAGAATTCTGATCTACTATTTGACTTTCGTGAACGCGCTTTGGATCTTAAAAGATGTGGGAATCCGTACCAATTATTTGAATGATCTTTGGTTATTTGACACTCTCGAGTACAAATGGCAACAATTCACTGTTAAAGATACTGAACGATGGCCAAGGTATGTTGTTGATTTGGTTTCAAACGAGGTCAATGATTCCTGAAACTGTTCACATTAGTCCTCGATCAGGGTTCAGTCTCTTATCTACACCAGAGGGGATAGTCTTACATGGTAAGTTTGGCCACTGTGCTCAATGGAATCCTCATTATCTTTCAGAGACTTGACCCAGATCTGAACTCGTTGATATTGACGAACGTTGTTGTGTTGATCAGGCGGGTATTGTAAGATCTATACCACCAAGACGAAATCAAAAGGTGTTGCCTTGGACGATACATTCTTTCTCAAATTAGATTCGACAAAGGCAGATTGGATGAAGACTTTGAAGTGGGATAAACGGAAGAAAGTTGGAACGATGCCAAATCTCAGAAGTGGATCTACAATGGTGAATTGGGTAAACAAATCCATGGGGATCGGTTTTGGAGGAGTATTAGATGTAGCAGATGAAGAAGAAGGATTAGTCAGTGAATTTTATAATGACTTGTCAGTCTTTTTTTCTCTGAGAAATCTATTTGGAGAACATCGTAAGATTTGACTTGTGGATCATGGTTTGAAGTATATAGGTACGCATACCAGTTGACTGGAAATGGTCGATGGATGATACTCAATCTCAAAAAGAAGAAGAAACCTGGTCAAGCAAAGCGTAAGAAGGCTCAAAACCAAGAGCAAGCGCCTGATCATTCACCACCGAAACAGGAACCTGAAGAGATGATCGAAGACGAAGATTTGGATGATGAGGAACGGGCTGAAGAAGCTAGATTGAGAGCTGAACAAGCTTTGCGAGATGATCTGAAACGTGCCAAAGAGCCACCTGTTCCATCAGTACCTGCAAAGGCAGATGAGACACCAGTGGATGATAACATGGATGATCCAGAGAAATCGATTCCCTTGGCACGATACAATCCAATGCTAGCGGTCTTGAAAAATACCCTTTACATGTTGAGTCTATTTGATGCACGATTTTCCTTTCCATGCGTATCTAACTCCTATTTATATCCTTAGTTATGGTGGGATATTCGAGGCTGGCGACAGAGAATACACTTTACAATCATTTTATTCTCTTGCTCTGGATAAGCTAGATCGGTATATGTGTTTGCGAGATGACGATATACATGAGCATGAGTGGAATGAGGAAGTTGAAAGTAGCGAGAGTGATGATGAGGAAAATGAAGATCAAGACGAAAATGATAGTGACGGTGACGGTGCTTCTAGTGAAAGTGGTGATGATGAAGCTGAAGCTGAAGCTGAAATTCATGAAATGGTGGTAGATGCAGATATCAAGGACGAAGAACAAGCCAAAGTGAGTGCCTAGACGTAGGTCTATTTTGGGTGTGTATTGACAAGCGCTTCATTGAATTTTCTGTCGAGTAGGAAGAATTGAGGGCGCGTGCAGAAGCATTCATCGGAGTCTCTAAGGGTGCTGAAAGATCAATAGATGAAGTCATGAGCACACCACTGCCCGGTGAATCTCTGAAAAAGTTTTATGATCGTAGTCGAGAAGTAAGCTGTTCTCAATCTTTCTACCAGAGTGATGATATTGACTAATGTCTCTGCTGGTACAGTACTGGGCACAGAAAGCCCATACAACTTCTCAGCACCGTGGCAAAGAGCTTCGGAGAGATGGTAAGCGTGCGATATCTACTCCATTGAGACCTGTGCAACCTGCTGTTTCTAGAGGAATTAACGGCTTTCCCTTTACTTTATCCACATGATGGCCTCAACTACAAAGGCTTTTCTCATGCTGAAGAACGATATAGTGAGTGATAGCCACTTATACTTCGCTTTGCTTCAAGTTCCAATACTGATAGCTTTGTATGGGATCCTATTATCATGTCGCTAGACGAATACAAACCATTGCTGGATGAAATTGAACGCATACAGGCCGAAGCTGGCATCGAAGCTGCAGATGTTCAGCATCGCACAGGGCCGGGTGCAAGCGGTGTTGGTCAAGAAAGTCGACATCGACGATGACATATTATACCAGGACGCGTGACTGAGTGCTTATCATCAAAATTTGGCCTGTCGATAGGGCTACCACGGAACAGGCTACCACGGAACAGAATCCCTTAGGATCAAAAGTCATGATGTATTACATTGAACTGTCAACATTACAAAAATTGGTTTTCAAAGTCCATTGTTGTCCATCCATTCTTTTACTTTTTCAAATGCGGTTTGATCGGTCATATTTGAATCACCTCCAACAATCTCCAAATGATCCACCTCGTCCGGATAGTCTTTCAATAAGCGATGATCCGGAGCCAGACTTTGTGACGTCTGACTCGCAGTACTCATGATGAGCGTAGGAAATCGTGGCTCAAAGTCAAAGGATGCTGAATCCTCAGTAGGTGGTGAAATGAGCACTAAACCGCTGAGCGGGTTTGATGATACATACGTCTGGGCTAGCAGACATTCTAGTCTTCCCTTTGAAAATAGCAAAGGTGGGAAGAAAGATGTGGCCTGTCCGCTTAGCTGGATTTGGAGATCTAAAAAATGACAGTGATTGTAGTCAACACGCCAAAGAACAAAAAATGGCGATTAAGTATCATTAGAGATTTGACATACCTCTTTCAAGTTTTGATAAGTGATGGGTATCGATCGGAGTCTCATTGGAAATTTGACTCGGCAGATATATTGTGACAGTGCTGTATCCTTGTTGATTGAATCGGTGAACCCAGTTATGAGGCCAGGAAGCCGACATACGTTCTTCGCGTGGCGTTCTGGAGAGACAGAAAGACACATTATGTGAGATCATGAACGCAGATGAACCATTTACAATAGTAGAGTCGACCTAGTATGGACGTACTCGGTAGTCTCTCCGTTTGACCGAGTTGTGTCTGTAGTCAGGAATGCCAATGGAAGTGCAAACCTCGTGGTGCTGTCAGGATCGTTTACCACGATGCGTACGTTACTAGCAAAACCACGTCTGAATCGCGCGCCCTACCACAAAAAACCATGGCGAAGATAGTGAACTTCCACATCAGCGACTCGTTGATAGGCAAACAGGCCACTCATGTCTAATCGCGCTTTCGATCAGACTTTGATTTCTTGGGAACTACGGAATTGGCCAAGATAACTGATTCACAAAACAAAAATGACAAATGACAGGAAATTCTTACATCGTACGCCGAGCGCGATAGGCGGCTGTAGCTGGGTGCATACTTTAACCAATGCATTCAGGAGCTGTGTCTTTAGTGGAATATCACCTGAAGTACTTTTCGAGGAAGGAAATATTTTAGAAATGGTGGCAATTAAGTTCAGCAACAACCGGACCTTTTGTTGGGAAACCCGATTGCCAAGACCGCCTTAACTCATACGGGGCAGAGAGGTAGGAGCAAAATTATCAAAAAGAGCTTTGTTAAAAATCACAGAATCAGGTTTAAGATGGTCTACCTGAATCTATACAAACAACCTTTCAAATGTCGAAATAGATCACATAACAGAAGTCATTCACACGACCAAATGTTCACCGAGTCGTGAATATGTTCAAGCAATGTACATGAACAAAACTTGATTGCATTCCACTGAACACGGCAAGTGTGATTAACATTAACACAATATTTAAAGCAAAAAAACCCAAGAAGAACCACACCAAAAGTGCACATTGATTGTTTACCCTATTCAAAACATTCCACACAACATATAATCAGTCACAAATGTAATCTTCACGAAAAAATATTCAAAGGACATACATATCGAGAATTATGCATGTGAGGTACTTTAGATAGAAATGATGAATTGAACGACAATTGGTCCGAAGTGTATGCTGACGTTTGTCAGGGATTGAGCTTATGTGCTCATGTTGGCCTAGTTTCAAAAGGAGAGCAATCAATTCATCCCCAAGTAGAAAGTTGTAGATTATAAGTACTTTGAAGACAAGATATATATGGGTATGATTATAAATATGC